CTAAAGAAAACTGATTAATAGAACTTGCTATACATGATCCTTTGCGTCCAAAAATAATCGGCATGTCGCAATTGCGTACCATCACAATTCAATTTTATCCCAGATTCAGCTGCCTACAAAAATTCTGAAGTCTAGTCTGTTATTAAAGGAATTTTACTCATGAAGTTATTTTGATCTGGCAAGAATCTATTTTGGTGCCGGTGCACGCGACTGCGACATGTCGATTGACCTGAATCTGCTGTTATATGTTCAAGGAGCATAGAGACCTTCCAAAATAGATTTGCTTTTGGCTTCATCTTTGAATTTTTAGTCCCTCATCCCTCAAATCGAATCAGATAACTGACCAATGATTTGCAAAGCTGAACTCTCGCTTCCGTGTAATCCAGCTCTCTCTCCACTTCGCGTATTAGTGCCTTCTTGCGCTTATCATCTTCCTTCTCGAATGATTGGCATTTCATTTTGAATGCTGCTTCTTTTTCCTTACATATAATGATCCACAATTTTTTTTCGAGAAAACAAAGCTATTATGTACCTCTCTGAAGGATTCGATCTCTACTTGTGCAAGACGATGTGCTTCTCGGATCCTTTCCATGCGACGATCTTTTGCTTCCATAATCTTTGCGCGGCCTTTCGCTTCTACTTCCCACACTTCATTTAGCAGGACCGCTTGATCGCCCAAGGAAGACGTACTCATAGGTATATCAAATGAGAATAGTTAATGCAATAGTTGAGCTTACTTGCCAACTCATCTATACGTCAACATTGACATGTTGATCCCAACTTGTTCACCTTCCAAAGTAAATGGCATGGTGCCTTATTTAGAAACAGCACCTATTTACTTTTTCATGATGAAAAAAGAACTAGATTTTTCGAAGGACTCGTTGTTTGGCTTGAATTTTCCACGATATGTCCTCCTTTTAGACAAAAATCTTTTATTTTTGTGATTGAACTAAAACTTGTTATTTTGCAGTCAAGCTTTATAGAAAAACGATTCACATAATTTGATTATTTATCTCGCATAACCTATGTGGTATCTAATAAAACGAAATAGAGTATAACAATTGTAAGACGATCAGTAGTTTTGACAATTAGAAACACACAAAAATATCCCGTTGTTAATAGGAACTCACCGTTTGCAGATAATCCTTCCGAAAATTTGATTTTTCATGAGCTTGTCCAACTTGGCTGACTTGATTAGTGAAGAAGTTTTTCCTTGCACTGATCTTTGACCTTTGAGTCAACTTTCTAGGCCCCCTCTGCTGATTGGATTCTGATAAAGAAGGCAGTCGGCAACAAAACAGCATCAAATGTTTTCTGCAAGTAGATTTCAGTCCAAAATTGGGATTTCGAAACTTATCACTAGGAATCTGGTAATATTAATCCCAACTCTAGCAATTCATGCGTGAAGTTATTCAGCACTTTTTAAGGGGTACGGATTGTTTTGCGCTTGAGTCGGTTGTATGTTTCGGGAATAGATCTAGCATGAATTTTGCGTGGTTTTAAGAGAATGGGCGTATCTTTAATTGAGAATGCATCAAATTAAAAATGGCTCGTTGCCTTATACGCAATCTTCCTGCAGATCATAAAAAGAGAATAGTTTTTTTTTTTACTTAAAAGCCTGATCACTTGATCATTTAGTGGAACCCACTCGACTCATACCGATAACCATGACTCTTAGGCACTT